CCCCTCCGCCCCCCGCCACCTCTGCCCTCCCGCGCGCGCAGATTCATCGTGTCTCGCCAGCCGATCGGCTTGAGCGGCTTTGGGAAACATGTTGTCTCTTATTTATGATGATCCGGCAGACGCGCGCTTACGTTACCCGTTATGTTGCAGGTACGGCCGGCCGTGTCCCAGTCCTGGAGTTCCTGGAGGACCCCTTGCGGCGGGAGGACCTTCCCCTGAGAGCAGACAGGTGTGCAGGAGGTACTTCTCTGAAGCCCGCATCAAAGTGACGGGGAACCCGGAACCCCACCTGAATCACCGTTTGAAAAACACGCTTCCCCAAAACGGCTCGGTCCGAGTCCGAGTAAAGCGCATAATCCAGGATTCCTCGACCAGCTGGGCACTGGGCACACACGTTGTTTTTACGGTGGAAGCAGTGGAACCGGGCAAAGAATTCTCACTTATCTGGTCCCTTTCCGAAGAGGAAGAGACCGGTTGACGTTTGGACATGCCCCCGCCCTGTTAGTCAGACGGGTCCGAATAACCCGCACCTGCAGCTTGCTTCCGATTGGCAGGAGGACGGGTGGGACGTTTTCTTTTGGCATGTGCTCCGCATCCCCCACCCCCTTCGCCCCTCCCCGCGGTGGCTGTTACCACTCCCCCATCCTCCACACCGCGGGTAAACATTATCTAGAAAAATAGGCTGAGCGTCCTTGCGCGCTAACCCGACGTGCTGACAAGGTACTCACAGATTTTTTGTCGCTTTGGTGGTAGTGGGAAAGCGCGGTGGGTCTTGGTCATTTATCAGGGTTTGTATCAATGCTCCGGCGGGGGTTCCCTGGGACGCCTTGTCTCCTTCGTGTTCTCGTGGCGTGGCAGCGTGGGACCGGCGAGATTCTGTTTTCAGTTTACCAGTCTGGAAAGCGCGCGCGGGGCTACTGGGGCCAAGAAGTGCATGAAGTACGGGCAGCGAGGGAGAAAAAAAACTGAACAAAAACGGGTAGTAGATTTGGCGGCATTGCGGGGGCGTCTCCTCTTCCCCCACTCCCCTCTGGCGGCGACCCCTTACGGTCTCCGTGGGAAATAATCGCGGCACTCAGTCACAGTCCCAGCGCCCGGCCCGCGCGGCCCGCCGCCACCTCCCCCTCTCTCGATGCGATAAGTGCAAATAATTAATGATTGCCAAATTGCAGTTGTGTCTCTCAAGCCAACCCCCGCGTCCCCCGGTTTCGAGGGGGTCTTCGGGGAAAGGGGCAGCAGTGGTGCCACGGGGGTTATGGTTCTTCTCGATGTGACGGAGTTGTTGGTATGGGTGTAATATTTCACCCCAAAGTTTGTCTTATTTTTCCTTCCCCTTGCATCTCCGCGAGCGCACGATCTGTCTCCCCGTCGGCCTGCAGTGACAGTCTGTGCAGATATGCGCGTGTGTAGGTCCCCCCGTAAGGTCGGGTACCATGCCACCGCACGGCGGCTCGGCGCGCCTACTTTCCCTTTACGGGCGATAAACCCCCAGCCGTGGGCAGTTGAGGCAGTCGTGATAAAATAATACATGGCAACGCGCGGGACGTGTCAAGGGCGCGTCCGCCAGTGCGCGTGTGAGCCCCGCAAGGAGATTTCCACGGGAAATTCGCAATTCTCTGACGGACAAGTCGGAAATTCATCGTTAAATTTTTACAACACAACA